GACCTCTAACACCCCACCTAACAGACCAATTCCTAACTCCACTGTCACGCTAGACTCAACTTGACTATTGAACTATAAACTCTAACTCTGATACCAACTAAGTTGTCATGCCCCATCCCGGTCTCCCAAGGATGAGATGTGATTAGGTTTTTAATACATTGTTTACAATTATTATAAGCTGGACTAATCAAACATGATATAATCCTACAGGTGTAACAACACCACTCATCACCTTAGTTATTAAGCATGATGGTAACACCTGTCTTATAACCTGTACCATATATAAACTCATGTACCAATTATTTATTTTTCAGGTTATAGACATATACAAAATTCCACAGCCACATAGCATATATCACAAAGTATGCTTGTTGAGTCTATTTACAAATATATACTATTAACCTGTCATAAATATCTCTCATAAATATAATACACAACCCAGAAATTAGTCATACTGACACTCAACCTGAGTGATATCACATTATCATTGCACAAGACTTAATCAACTAGACAGTGGACCGATTTGTATCCTCTTTTATAGTACTAGAAAAGAAGAAGTTGTAGGGGTGTGAGCTAAACCACGCGCACAGTGAGTATACCTGCTGTATATGAAATGGAAATGATAGTAATACACTGAAGTAGGTAGATATTACGTAGATACACGTATCAAACAACAACATCAATCCAATTCCAAAGAATTTACAAGACACATCGCATCCATACTACCCCTCATCGGGTAATCGATCCCACATGGATCTGTGTCTCCCGAACCTCTCGGGAACACCATAGTGCTAGTACATCACTGCATGCCCAGTGACCAGGCATTGACGCCCTTGTTTCAAACAGTGTGCCACATTCCACAATATACAATTCACAATACAAAACATTATCCAATCACATAAGCACGTAGCACATAATCTTGGAAATTTGCTATTAAATTCTATCATTTATTATCATCTTATAATAGCATTTCCAAAACATATAAAGATATACACCTATCTCAGATGTACAAATTTATAGTTCTTTGGTCCTATCGGTTGATCCTTACGGTGTCATCGTATTTGTTCCAACACCGACTGTCTCACTCATTCCACCTAACACATTTGTAATTACAATATCAATATGTTTATTATATTTAATAGTTAATCATGCACCTCAAAGTGCCCTAGTAACCCCAGTTATCGCACTATTTACTTACACATTACCACTTTTATTCTAGAGATCAAATTTCCTCCCCAAATTCTCAAAATCAGTCATATTAATCACAATTAGGATTAAGTAGGTCAAACACATTGACTGAGGCCCCATTTTCACACATTTCGACCCCAAATCCTAAAAATTATACTTTCGGTATTACATACATTTTGCACTGGATATTGTACTCATTTGCATTCAAAAGTCACATTATCACATCAAGAATCATTTAAAAATGCTGCATGCAAAATTTCAAGTCATTTGGATTAACATTCGCACATGTGATAATAACATTTAGAAATCAGGGTTTCGGCGTTACCGACACCCTTTTCAAATTTCTATCGTACTTTTATTTTAAAATAATTATACCTAAACTCACCCATTCACTAAATTATGAAAATCAGTCCCACTAATTGCATTTTTAAATCACCCATTTCACTCCCATAATTTTGGTTCAAACCTAGACCTCAAAAACATACTGAACATCTCAAATAGCCATATTCCACATTTTTCTTATCTTTATTTTAATACCCATTTGGAACCTATTTTTTTAACAACTCGTTAATTATGCTAAATATACCCATAAAAAATCTGTTTTGACCTTAACTAAATTAGCCCATGAGATTTAAATTAAAACAGTCCATTAAAATTAAAAGAAGACAGCTCATGTATTTAAATTAAAACAGCCTACTAATTAAAACATGCTAAAACAGTCCACACATATACAAATATGTACATACTAAAATTAATCACAACTCAAGCTTAACTTAATTCCACATACCTTTTTCTTCTCCTTCTTTGCTCACAGATTCAAGAACCACACACCTATTATTTTTTTTTTCGTTCTTTCTTTCTTTTTCTCTTTTTTTTTCCCTTTCTCTCTTGCTCACCTCACTCTCGGTTCCAGTACTTCATCAGACACACACACACTTTGTTTCCTATGTTAAACACACACATACACACACTCTTTTTATATTTTATTTAACACACACACATACACACACCTTTTTTATATTTTATTTAACACACACACACACTTGACACCTTAAACACACACACACATACACTCACACACACACGTAATTATTTTTTTTTCTTTTTCTTAAGCTAACACATGTAAAGGTGTGTCATGTAATGGGTTAATTACGCTTGCCTCCCCCTAAATTTTTAAATAATTTTGAAATCGACCCACTAATATTTTCACACATGAAATTTTTATAAATGGGTCTCACTAATACTTCACTAATGGGGTCCACATACCCAATGTATGCATACTCACATCATGCTTATGAAAGATTTACTTTAATTAACCCATTTAATAATTTTATATAATTATAATTTAGCCCACAAAATTATATTAATATGCATGCAATGCATGATTGGGTCTCACAGATTGATTTTGTGGTTCCCTCTTTTATTTGTCTTGTAGCGAGGTCTACCATTTTGACGTACGTTGTGCTCACGATCATCAAAACAAGATATGTACCAATGTTCCCTTTACCAGGGAGTATTTGTCCATTAGGGTCACCAATAGTTGTTCCTCTGTCCCCTGGACACGTGATGCGTTGGGAGTGGCTTGGGATCTATCGCGCACCAAGCTGTTAGTTCCCGAGCTAGTCTACACTGTCGAGCTTGATATGACCGAGCAGACATTACCAATCTGGAAGCCATTGGACTCCCTTCCTTGAGTTGTGGCCCACTCTTATGGTGGGGTGGGCATGCTGCAAATAGGCCATGTAGGTTGTCATGTAACCAAGGAGCTTATCGGGTGTAGGCTTTGAATGGGCAGCCCAAGCCACAATATATCATTATTAATGATCATATGATCTTTAAAGAAGGGTAAAATCTTATCATTAAAGATTTAAGTAAGGATTTGAATCTTATTTAATTTGCTATGAGTTTAGGTATAGAATTAAAAAAAAATTAAGAGTTTTTTACTTAAATTTAAATTTGAGTTTATAAAAAAATAAGGATCGAAGATGCTATAGGAGATACCTATGCAAACCAAGTTCGGGTACCCTCTTAAATCTCTTTGCTTTCTATGTACTTTCGAAATTGGAGTGTTTTGTATTGGAGTCACTGTTTGTTGGTTCATTCGCTACTGCTAGCCTTGTACGATACCCTTAAGACCATTCCAGGTATCCTCTTCCATTTCATTTCTTGCCAGCTAATGTTCTCCCATTGTAAATCTTACCAGCTAATTTAAATAATAAGGGATAAGGCATTTTAAATCTTTTAAGGCATAAATTTATGTTGAATTTTTCGTATCTTAGATTTATCTAAATTTATCTAACTTAGATCTAATGGTAGAAATTCGCTTATAAAATTTTACTTTCCTGCCCATTACATTCCTGGATGAGGTTCTTCCAAATGCTCCAATTACTACATGATGCAATGAGAAATTTGAAGGGGCTAAAATCTTGGCAGATAAAGAAAGGATATTCAATGGCTCTTCCGCTTTCTCTTCCTCCTTGAACCCACCATTCTCTTGTTCGTCCCTATCTTTGCTTAATCCATCCATTATTTGCCTGATCTACAGTTTTTGGCCCATCTATTAACCTCATCTTTCATCAATTCATTTCCTGACCACTTGTTTCTAAAACCCTCTTCCATACCCATCTCTCTCTCTCCTCCTTAAACCTTCCTACATTAAATCCTTCGCACCCACCTCTGAATCCATTGTAAAATCTTTAATCCACTAGCTATATATACTTAATCTAATCCATAATCCAGATCTCCTATGAGTTCTCATGAGCTCATAATTGTTGCGTATGAGAAAATAATGAATACACAGCTCATGACTGAGCATGAAGTGGTATAAAGCCAAGCTATTGCTGCAGAATTGGTCCCAAATGAATCTTCCAGTAAGTAAGATGGTGTGGCGAGTAGAGCTCACGGTTATGTAGATGCAGCTCAAGTCTCTATTCCCTAACAAGTTGCTACCCCAAATGCATTAGAGTTGTCAAAAAGTCAGCATAGTGAATTAATCTCAAGGGCTGAGACACAGCCAGAACATACCTCACTGTAGTAAGGTATTGACTGCCAGGCGCAGAAGCCCAACTCCCCAAATACCATCTTAGAGTTAGGTTCTTAAATCTGGTTTGGATGGAGAAGCTTCAAAGACCTTCAACGGAACCCAAATTACAGGTATGAAACTCAAATACTATGAACCACTAAAAGAGAATGAGAGGCTTGTGGTATCACCTCCGAAAGAGGTAGGTATGAGAGGAAGCCTTGAGTGACAAAATTGCCTAGTTGGGTATTTTATTGAGAAGAAACTCCCATACTCTGTAAATTTCCTTGTCCATAAAGTATGGGGAAAAATGGGATTGTTAGAGGTTCTAGCAAATGATAAAGGATTTTATTTTTTCAAGTTCATGAGTGAAGAGACTAGGACTGCTATTTTTGAAGGGGGACCTTGGTTGTTTGCCAGGAGGCCTCTAATCCTCAAGAGATGACAGCTAGAAATAATCCTTGCCAAAGAAGATCACTCTGTTATCCCGGTGTAGATTAAGCTATTCAATGTTCCACTCCAATTTTGGAATGAAGAGGGGCTAAGCTATATTTCTAGTGCTATAGGCAAGCCACTATATGTAGACACACTAACTGCATCTAGGAAAAGACTGAGTTTTGCTAGAGTGTGTGTGGAAATTCAAGCCAAAACCAGGCTTATTGGCTCTTTTGATCTCAGGGTGAATGTTGAGGGGAAAGATGAGAAGGTGAAAGTACAAGTTGAATATCAGTGGAAGCCCAAAGTGTGCCAAAGTTGCCATATATTCGGCCATAATGAGTCCACATGTCCTAAGATGGTGACAAATACCATTTGGAAGCCTAAACATTCCCAAAAGGAATCTCATCCTCTTGCTGCTGGCAATGGCAAGGAAATCATATCCAATGAGGTGGAACCAACAACGGAGATGGTCATGTCAAAAGAGAAGCCTCCATTAGATCATGGATGTAGCATCAATAGTGAAATTGGTGTTGCTATACTCAGGCAACCCATTTATAGACTATAGGATAAAACTCAGGTGACATCCATCTCTCCTGTGGAAGTGCAGGTCCCAGTTCAGCTGTTTATACCTACTACATCTTCAAACAAATTTGAGAGGTTGGAAATTGAGGGAGGTAATTTGGTGGTGGATTTAGACTATGCTGCAACTAGTTGTGATCATAACCATGGTGAGGCAAGTAAGCAACCTGGGGAGAATAAGAAGAAAAAAGCTAAGAAAAAGTCCTCTGGGAAAAGGAAAGATAAAGGGACTGAGCCCTTCAAACTCAGGCTTTCTCCTCTCCTATGATTAAGTTAACCTGCTGGAATATAAGAGGACTTAACAAATCCTCTAAGCAGGAAGCAGTATAGAAATTAGTTTTTGAAAGCCACCTTGATTTAGTGGGGATTGTTGAAACCAAGGTGAGAAGTGTAAATATTTTAGCTGTCAGAAATAACATTTTTAGACAATGGGAGTTTTTGGCAAACTACAGCAGTCATACTTTTGGTAGGATTTGCATTGGGTGGAATCCTAACTTAGTCATGGTAACTAAGCTCTCGAAAATTGATCAAGTGGTGCACTGTTAGGTGGTACATTTGGACACTGCAAATAAATTTTGTGTTTCCTTTGTATATGGCTCAAATGAGGAAAATGAGAGGAAGGACTTGTGGAGAAATCTTGTTTACCATGCCGGTCTCTTTAAATCCTACCCTTGGTTAGTTATTGGGGATTTTAATGCTATAAGAAGCTGGAATGAGAACCATGGCGGACTGAACAGATGGGTGCAAGATATGGGGGATTTTGATGATTGTGTCCAAGAAGCTGAGCTTATTGATTTGAGGTACTCAGGGCTTTTCACTTGGAGCAGTAGAAGAGAATAAGGTGCTTGTGTTTCAAGGAAACTTGATAAAGCCCTTGTAAATGAGGCTTGGATCCAAAAATTTGATAGAGCTGAAGCTGAATTCTTACCCCCCGGGAGTATCTGATCATAGTCCTACAGTGGTGAAGATTGGAGAGGAGGCGAATAGGAAGAAGTGCCCTTTTAAGTTCTTTAATTTTTGGGCTGACAGAGAAGATTTTCTGCACATTGTCACCCAGGTATGGCAGGAACCTATTCAAGGATCTAACCAATTCAAACTTTGCTTTAAACTTAAGAAACTAAAAGCAGTGTTTAAAGAAAAGAACAACGAAATTGGTGAGCTTGCTATCGTTGTCAGAGAAAAGAAAGCTTTGCTTGATAATTGCCAAAGGAGACTTGACCTTAACCCTTCAGACTCAACACTTAGACAGGTGGAGAATCTTTTACTCAATGATTACTTGGAGGCTGCAAGGAACGAGGAAATCCTATATAAATAGAAATCCATAATATTATGGTTGAGTGAGGGAGATAAAAATACCGCTTTTTTCTTTAAATCTATGAATTGCAGAAGGAACAAGAAGAAGATTTTAAAACTTGAATTTGCTAACGGTAGAGTGGTTGATGGAGAGGAAGCAATTAAGGGTGAAGCTATTGACTATTTTCAGAGACTTTTAGGTACTACTAGCAACCTTTCTCCTCCCCTAGAGAGAAGAGCATTATTAAGATCTCTACCACTTAAGAAGGTCACTGAGCAGCAAGCAAATCATATGATCAGAGATATTGAAGATGAGGAAATCAAAGAGGTGTTGTTCTCCTTTAATAATATGAAGGCTCCTAGTCCTAATGGATTTATTGCATACTTCTTCAAAAAGGCATGGCCAGTGATTGGTAGGGACTTCATAGCTGCAGTGAAAGAATTTTTTAGATCTGGAAAATTACTTAAAGAGCTCAACGCCACTGTGATTGCCCTTGCCCCTAAAATTCCAAATCCAAACTCAATGGGGGACTTCATACTCATCTCATGTTGTAACTTGTTGTATAAGGTCATCTCTAAGATTCTGGAAAACAGAGTGAAGGCTGTGCTCCAAGGTATTGTAAGCTCTAATCAAATGCCTTTGTTCTAGGAAGGAAAATTGGGGAGAATATTATGCTTACTCAGGAACTCCTTAGAGACTATCATAGAAATTGTGGTCCTCCTAGATGTGCTATTAAATTGGATATTATGAAAGTTTATGACACATTGGATTGGCATTTCCTTTTGGATGTCCTTGAAGCTTTACATTTTCTAGAAACGGTGAGAAATTGGATAAGGGAATGTATTACTTCTCCTCGGTTCTCTGTTAATATAAATGGGGAGATGGCAGGATTTTTTTCAAGCTCTAGGGGACTTAGGCAGGGTGATCCCCTTTCACCGTACCTTTTTGTTTCGGCTATGGAAGTTTTTAGTTCTGTCATATTGCAGCAAATTACCTCTAATCCCTCATTCAGGTTTCATTGGAGATGTAGGAAGATGACTCTTAATCACCTACTTTTTGCTGATGATGTCTTATTTTTGAGTCATGGAGATGCTCAGTTTATACGAATTTTGAAAGTTGTGATTGACCAGTTTCAAGTCCTCTTTGGGCTTAGAGCTAATCCCTTGAAAACAATGTATTCATGGCTGGGATGTCTGATGAGGCAAAAGGTAAGATTACTAATATTCTAGGATTCCAAATTGGTGCTCTTCCTATGAGATATTTGGGGATCCCCTTGGTGTCCACTAGATTCAAGAGACAATATTGTGATGCTCTGATGGAAAAAATGGAGGCTAGGGTGAAAAATTGGACCAACAGGTTTCTATCCTTTGCTGGAAGGCTTCAATTGATTACCTTTATGCTCAATAGCACCCAAAATTTTTGGTTAGCCCACATTTTTATTCCCCAACAGGTTCTTGATAAATTAGAAAGAATGCTTAGATCATTCCTCTGGAAAGGGACTGATCTCAAGCCTACTGGAGCCAAAGTGGCTTGGGTGGACATTTGTAGACCTAAGAAAGAAGGGGGATTGGGGATTAGAAGACTTAAGGAGACGAATATGGCAATGATGATGAGGTATTTGTGGATTTTATTTACGGACAAAGAAAGTCTCTGGATGAAATGGATTCATTCTTACCATTCAAGAGGGAAAAACATCTGGGAAGTTAAGCCACCTCACTCTTGCTCTTGGAATTGGCTGAACCTCTTGAAACTGAGACCAATAGTTAGACCTCTAATTTAACATGTTATAGGTAATGGAGAGAGTACTATCCTTTGGTTGAATAATTGGCACCCTCATGGTCCTCTTCTACTTAGATGGAATGATAATGTTATTAATCATGCAGGGTTACCTAAGGATGCTAACATGGCTGCAATCGTGGGCAACAATAGGTGGTCATGGCCTTCCACAGGTACACCGGATCTATTGGAGATTTCAAATCATATGCCTACATATATTCCTCTGACAAATAAAGAAGACCAGGTGAAGTGGACTATAGCAACAAATGGGCAATTTTCTTCTTATTTGGCTTGGAATCACCTTAGGGCCCCTGGGCAAGAGGTACCTTGGCACCATCTGCTGTGGTATGGACAATGCATACCCAGGATGAGCTTCATTCTTTGGCTAGCAATAAAGGAAAGGCTTAGCACTAAAGATAGAATGCAAAAATTTGCGCCGGATGTTGATGTGACATGTATCCTATGTAGGCATGACATGGAATCTCATTCTCACCTCTTTTTAGTTGCCAGTTCTCACAAGATATTTGGATTTTTATTATGCAACTGTGTGGTGAACAAGGTCTACCGAGCTCTTGGCAGAATTTCATCAATTATGCAAGTCAAAGTTGGAAAGGTAAGTCACTTGGTAAGGTGTTAAAGAAGCTGTGTTTGGCAACTACTGTGTATATAATATGGAAGGAAAGGAATAGAAGACTCCATACAAACCAGTTTAGGGATTGTAGAAGTCTTGTGAAGTGTGTCTTACAAATCATCAAAGATAGATTAGTCACAATCAAATTCAAGAGTTCTCCTAAAAACTTGTCTCTCCTTCAAGCTTGGCAGCTTCTTGTTGTGGCTTAGGTTCAAATGATATGTGCTAGGAATGTCATGCGTTTGTGGATGAGGCAAGAGCTGTTGCTTGTTCTGCGCACTGGGGTGCCCTTATACATGATGATCATGGTTAATCACTATTTGCTGTGTTGGTTCTGGGGACATTTGCTTTGGGATGGATCATGTTGTTGGTGGTCTCCTGTGCCTTGAAGTTTTTTGTTGACAGGAATGCACTGTTCACGTGCACTGTTCAAGTGCATAGCTTGTTTAATGCAGCTGCTAGCCTTTCTCCTTTGTTTTCTTCTTTCTTCAGCAGAGTGTTGATGACCTTTATCTGTTGTTTCAGCTGGTTCCCCTCAGCTGCCTTTTATTATGGTGTCTGCTGCCCTTGGTCTGCTGCCTAGTCTCCATTGCAGCCTGCCACAGTCGCTGGGCACTGTTCATGGCTTTCTTGTTTCACTGCTCTTGAATGCTGCCTTGATTGCTGCATGTTTGCTCTGTTATGAGGAGTTCATCCTAAGAGCATGAAAGGTTCTTCTGGCTCCTTCATCCATTTGTTCTCCCACTTGGCTGTTGGAATGTATGTTGGCATTGGGCTTTCCATATTATCTGATGGAAGCCTCTTTGCTTTCTTTGTCTCCTTTGAGTCTGGATTCTGCTAGAAGTACCAGCTCAAGGCTGGCACTTTCTTTAGAATTCTACACTTTTGGTTGTTGTAAATTTTTGGTTCTACTTTTGTATTGGGTGGATGCATTGTCATGTGAGCTTCACCTCAGTTTTTTTTTCTTATGAATATATTTACCTTCCGTAAAGAAAGGATATTCATCTATCAAGACAAATTTTTTGGAATAAATGAATGAGGAAGTCTACATGGGATGGTTGAATATTTGACAAGGATTTCCACCTAAAAACTAGACTTCCAAAAATAATTAAATGTATTTGATTTTTTTGTAATTTAGTTACAAAATAATTGTGTTTTTGTGAATTCTATTAAAATCATATTGGTTTTATATTAAGATGATACTTGTTGTATTTGTCAAGTTTTGGTAGACAACTAGTGCAGTAAATTTAAGTGAAGTACAATGCAGAAATAATGTTAGTTTTAAGAACATGGTGTCTTTAAAAGCAGGCATTGGCTTATGTTCAATATAACGTCAAGCATACAGCTCCAAAATGTTCCCTCTTGTGGGACAAACATAAACTTTGGTGGCATCATTTGATGCTGTTAATATGTATTGGAAAGCCGACACTTTTACTTCTACCCTCATCCTTGTTGTTAGAGGTGGAAAATGCGTGGGTTGGATTGATTATGGATTTTCAAGATAGGTTGAGTGTAAAACAAATTCAATCTATTTTTTAATTCGCTTAGTAAATGGATTATAATGGGTGAGGTCATAATGAATTGGGTTAAACCCATTAACTCATAAATTAAATAAAATATGAACACATACTAATATGCCTAAAATACACACTAATACATTAAAAATACACACAACATATACTAACACACAAAAAAAACACTCTTATTTTATTATTTTTGTCATGGGTTGGGTTGTGGAGCGAGTCATGGGCCAGTGTCAAGGGTGGGTCATGGGTCGGGTTAGATGTATTAGTGTGTGTGTGTGCTTTTGGTGTACTAGTGTGTGTGTATTTTGGCATATTTATTTGATTTTTATTACTTGTATTATGTAATAGAAAGATAAATACTCAACTCAATAGGTACCTATTTGTTATCTATATTAACCCGCTTAATTAAAATGAATCGTATTACCCAATACATTTGGAACCTCATTCATTAATATAGATACCTAACTCATTTATTTATGAACGGGTTGGACAGGTTAAGTAATAATAGGTTAAAATTATCACATCTATAAGTATTCAACTCATTTAGTCATGAACGTGTTAATGAGTAATGAGTTAAAATTGTCACCAATGACCAAATGACATGAAAGTTGACTTGAGCTTTTTTATTTGGTGTCATGTCATTTGAGCCCCAATAAAGATTCTAAATAATATGCTGTCACATTATTTAGACTTCAAATTTAATCTCAAAATTTGGTCAACGTAATTTTAATGAACACGAATACTTGCCACTAAGAGCATGGGTTTGAGTATAAGAACCACACGAATTATGTTAACATTCATTATATACCCTTCTGAATTTGACCTTCTCCTAGCAACAGTGCCAATTGCTGAATAAAAACCATTTCGAGACACAGCGAAAGAGAGAGGATGGATAAAAAAGAGATGGCTAGCAGAACTCACGTTTTAGTTGTCCCTTTCCCTGTACAAGGTCACATAAATCCAATGCTGCAATTCTCCAAGCGCTTAGCCTCGAAAGGTCTGAGGGTCACTCTGGTCACCATCACCATTAGCAAGTCTATGGAATCCCAAACCAGCTCGGTCAAGATTGAGTCTATTTCCGATGGCTTTGATGAAGGTGAGAAACTGGAGGGCCATGCTGGTTTCATCAAACGTATGATGCTACTACTCTGGCAATGTTTGCCCGAACTCATTGAGAAGCAAAAAAGCACTGGCTACCCTGTCAAAGTCCTTGTATATGATTCAATCATGCCATGGGCTCTAGAAATAGCCACAAGCTAGGTGTATGTGGAGCTTCATTCTTAACTCAATCCTGTGCTGTTTGTGTTATCTACTACCATATGCACCAAGGGACTTTGAAAACATCTTTAAAGGGGTTTACAGTATCATTGCCTTCCATGCCACGCCTGAGGAACGAAGATCTACCTTTTTCATCTATGACAATGTCTCATACCCCGATGCGTTGAGGTTCCTCGTCGATCAATTTCGAATTTCCAGGATGCGGATTGGCTTTTGATAACACATATGACAAGCTAGAAGATGAGGTAAATTTTTCATTCCGTTCCCGACGGGTATTAAATTGACATACAAATCCAAAACCATTAACAATCAAGTGTCT